TCTTGCTTGCTCTGTGTCTGGCTTCCTCTGTGTCTGGGTGAGGACTGCAGACTGAAACTTCCCTCTTCCCAGAATTCTCTTTGCCCCACCTCTACATCCTGCCTGGTTGCCCCACTTATAGTTTCTGATGTGGGAGTGTCATATATCAATCTGTTGATTTCATTGGTTAAGTAATAAACAAACTGCTTGGGCTCATAGTGATTGTGTACATGTAAAAATGTAATATATATAAGTTGTTAATGTATAATCATTAATAATAGTCAAGTTTGTAGTCGTGTTAGTTAGATTTTCTAGATGTGCATAGATATATTTCAGATAGGCATTCTTCATATCTTTCAAAGACTACAGAATATGAAATTTTAAATGTTTTAATAACTTAGGGTTATTCATGACAATGAAACAAGTCTGCTCCTGGCAGCACCAATCTACTTCAAGAAGAAGATGGGCATCGAAGAGGCTCATTATGGAGTTTGATAGCCATTTGGGCAAGAAACTGCTCTTGCCTGGACTGTTGCATAAACTGGACACAAAGAACCCGCAGAGAGAGGATTGCTAAACTTGCCTAAAGGTGAGATAATTTTTTGGGGTTCCTGATTCATGAAAGAGTCTGTGAGACATTCTGCAGGACACAACAGATAGTGACTGAACTGACTTTGAAATGTCTGCTTCATGGAAATGTCTCTGGATACCATGGGTCTGTAGGCCGATGATGGATGCCCCAACGGTACAGAGAAACTTTGGATGACTGTCCAGGCAGCGAGATGTCTCTGTCATTTCTAGAGTTTGAAAGTTGCTTTTTTCTTGTTTGCTTAGGTAATATTGTAGTTAAGAATAGTTAGTTATAGTTATAGTTTTCCTTAGTTATGATAAAGATTATTGTAATTTTTACTTGATAACTGTTTTGTTATATGTAATTTTGCTATGTTAAAGTTAAAGCCTTTTTTTGTTTAAACAGAAAAAGGGGAAGTGATGTGGGAGTGTCATATATCAATCTGTTGATTTCATTGGTTAAGTAATAAACAAACTGCTTGGGCTCATATCTTAGAACATAGGTGGGTGGAGTAAACAGAACAGAATGCTGGGAGGAAGAGGAAGTTAGCTCAGAGACTCGACAGCTCTCCTCTTGGGGGCAGACACCTCAGAGAGACGCCATGCCCCACTCCCAGGCAGACACACGCGATGAAGTTCCGACCCAGGATGGACATAGGCTAGAATCTTCCCGGTAAGACCGGTTCTCACAGATTATTAGAGATGGGTTGATCGGTATATCTGAATTAGCCAGTAAGGGCTAAAGCTAAAGGGCCAAGTAGTGTTTAAATGAATACAATTTGTGTGTTGTTATTTCGGGGCATAAGCTAGCAGGCGGCCGGGGTGCTGGGGACGCAGCCCTGCCTCTCTTATTACTACAAATCAGCATTTACTTAAAATACAAGTGACAGGGAGGGTACAGACTATTGTTCCACAGCAGTAATACACGTTAGAATAAAAAGTGAATTATGCACAACATTTGGACTCACCAAGATGGGATATGTAGTGGAATACTTTATCTGAATTTGTCAAATGCAAATGGAATAGACATTGTTGATGTACTTATTGCATGTGTGTATTTTATATAGCCATTGTACTTATTGGACATAGATTTTCGTATATTTGTTATAATGTTCTTTTTTATTTTAGACACATAATGGGGAAATGTGACAATTTTGTTTGTACTTTAACAAATAAAGCTTGCCTGAAGATCAGAGTGTATAGCCAGCTACACCTGTTAGCCAAAGAAGCCAGGCAGTGGTGGCAGACACCTTTAATCTCAGCCAGCAGAAGACAGAGGCTGAGGGATCCCTGTGAGTTCAAGGCCACTCTGGGCTACTTGAGATTGAATCAGCGTAAATGAGAAACTAACCCAAGCAGTGGTGGCTCACACCTTTAATCCCAGGACTGGGGAGGTGGAAACAGGAAGGGATATACCTGGGAGGAGAGAGGAATATACAGCAGGAGGAGACAGGAGCTCAAGGCATTCAGTGTGAGGACTTGTAGAGAGACGATACCCCATTTAGTATGAGGATTTTGTGGAGGTAAGAACAAGGGGCTGGATGCTCCGCTTCTCTGGCCTTTCAGCTTTCATCCTCTAATATCTGACTAGGGGTTTTTATTGTTAAGACCAATTAGAATCACATGACAATTCCCAATGCTGGAGCCTCTGGGTTCCTCGGATGGTTAATGGAATGCCCATCAGGATGGCCGGATTATCTGTCTGCCAGTAAAGTCCTGGTTCCAAGTGGCTTGTGTGAGAAAAACTATAGTGAAAGGTGGACATGGGATAGCTATGGAAACAAAATGATATTCCATGAATAAATGTCACTAAATCCTCCCACTCACTGGACACATGTTGAAATCTGGGTTGCAACTATACCAAATATAAGTGAGCTAAAATGCAATCTTAAGGCTGGGTAGATGGATCAGATGATAAAAGTGATAGCTGCTCATGCCTGGGGATATCATTTCTTTCCCTGCTACCTGCAACATAGTAGGATGCAGCAGGGTGCACAACTACACTAAAGATAAGTGAGCTAAAATGCAATCTTAAGGCTGGGTAATGGACCAGATGATAAAAGCGATAGCTGCTCATGCCTGAGGTTATCATTTCCTTCCCTGCAACCTGCATTATACTGGGATGCAGCAGGGTGCACCTGTAATCCTAGCACTACTTTGGTGGGATTGTGAGAAGCAGAATGGGTCAGAACCTCGCAGGTCAGCCAGCCTTGACTACACACTCCAACAGCAGCAACAAGTGAGATCTTGTCATCACAAGGTGGAAGGAAGAGCCAACTTGATATATGTCCTCTGGCATCCCCACCAGCACTGAGCGATGCATGTATACACCCTCACACTGTAGGCCCATATTTTTGTATGGCACAAGAGCCATAAGCCTGGTCTGAGCTGATCACATAACTCTGTAGACAAGCTGTCTCTGTTTAATAATAGCCAGGATGTGTTGTTCCTAGTTTTTTTTTTGTTATAAATGTAGATTATCTGAGAAGAGATGTTGGCTGAAGCTGATGACTTAAGAGTTAAGAGATTTGGTGTTCTTTTCTTTGAAATTTGGAGGATGTCTTATAGAGATGTTAATTTATGGCCTACATGACTGTTAACATATAGGTAGATGTGGACATGACTTGAGCCATGTACTTGGTTGTCTAGGAGACAGCCTAATGTGTTTTTTGCTCAATTGATGTGATGATATATAAGGTGTTTGGAGAATAAACGAGAAATTTTTGAGAGAGATCTTGTCCTTTTATGATGACCGTGTAAGCTGTGTCACTCATGTATACATAGACGAATAATTTTATTAACTTAAACTTGTCTGGGGCTGGAGCTTTGACTACGAACTTGCTGTTCTTGCAGAGGACAAAAGTTCAGTTTCCAGCACTTACATGGAGACTTGCAACAATCTCTAACTCTGGTTTTATGAAATCTGGTTTTATGCTCTCTTCTTTCCTCTGAGTGCACCAGGGTCATGTATGATACATTACCATGTAGGCACAACACTAACACACATTATAAGCTGTTAAAGTTATTTTGGTAGTCAGCTCTGTCTCTCTTGACTAGGGATGCAGAAGTGATCTTCCTGGGAGTTCTAGGATTCACATTCTCATAATTGTACCACATGGGTCAGAAATCCCTTGCAGAGGGTGGGGGTAAACCATGCAGTACATGGGCTGTGTTGATCTGTAACTCTAGCACCAGGACATGATTACTCTCTGTACATTTTGAATTTGTTTGAGGGGATGAGGATACAACCCCCCAGTTGTGTTATCCAAGTGTTCAGTATTCATCTGTAACTCTAGCACCAGGACATGATTACTCTCTGTACATTTTGGATTTCTTTGAGGGGATGAGGATACAACCCCTCAGTTGTGTTATCCAAGTGTTCAGTGTTCATCTGTAACTCTAGCACCAGGACATGATTACTCTCTGTACATTTTGGATTTCTTTGAGGGGATGAGGATACAACCCCTCAGTTGTGTTATCCAAGTGTTCAGTGTTCATCTGTAACTCTAGCACCAGGACATGATTACTCTCTGTACATTTTGGAATTTTTTCAGGGGATTAGGATACAACCCCCCAGTTGTGTTATCCAAGTGTTCAATCACTGAGTGACACCCCAGCCTGAGTCCTCCTTGCCAAGTCCACCAGCAACAGTGACCGCTCAGAGGAGTTTCACTTCTCACAGTCCTAAGTCATTCACATCTCCTCCCAAGGGCCTGGTCCTGCCTATTATTTCTGAGACCCATAATGAAATGCCTTGGCTTACACCACTGACTACTCTCACCCTAGGGGACCTCTCTGCAGAGTTCCTGTGCTTACACTTGTGACCTAAGGGGAATTCCCACGTTCTTTCTGACAGGGTTGTTGCTGTTGAACTTGACTTTTTCACAGAAAAGGATGGATAATCCGTTTGTCACGTCTCATTGGTAGCACAGGTCCTTTCACAGAGCAGGTGCTTGCTCAGTGAAGGGATGGGGAAGAGACTGCATTCACCTGATTTTAACTCTCATTTTCACAAGTTAACCAGAATAGGAAGCTAAAACTAGTAAGGCAATCAAAAATAATTTTATTCTTTTTTCATGAAAATCCCAAGTCTTTCCCATTGAGTGGGTAATCCCAATTAGAATGCCACAGTATCTTGAAACATGTTACAAGTTAGATATGAGTCATTCTCAAGTGTTTACAGAATGATAAAATTCTCCTAATCAGCATAAACAATACATGTTTTCCTAATTCCATTTGTAAAATGAAAACATCTCCACCTAATGAACCTTGCAGTAAAAGTAGCAACATTTTGAAATACCAAGAATGCCCAAATCACCCAGTCAGAACAACAAGAAGAAAAGGTTCCCACCTCCTCCGACCTGCACTTCAATGAGGTTACAGCTCTTAGATGTGACTCCGCCCAACCTGATGTTGGTTGGAAATTGCCAGTGCACTAGAATGTGTGCTGGTCAGGGCAAGAGTGCCACTGTTTGGGGGATCGCGGCCTCAGACCTCTCAATCTCATCTCTCTGCATAGGGAAAACGTACGATATGGGATCCTGCTTAACAACTCTGGCAAAAAACTTGAAGACTTCCACCTTGGTGGTTTCAGCATGGGCTCTCGGGCCCCACAGGAACTCATGGCTGAGAGGATCACTATCTGGCACCGGCCTGTACTCCAGATACCCTTCCTGCACAAAATGTTCAGTGATGAGTCTCCTGGGCTCCCCGCACAAGAAATGATCCCTCCCAGCATAGAGCCCCATCCTATTCAATATACGCCACAACACCTCCTCACTGACACAGTCGTCCTCTATGAAGATGATGCACAGTATGACTATTACCAGGCCTGTCTTGGGTATGCCTGGGAAACCATGCTGCATCCCATCATAGGTGATCCCAAGAGCATGGACAAGAGAGTAGGAGTGGACAAGGGGGTTCCCAAGGGGGTTATTTTCTATTATCTCAAGGCCAAACATCAGCCGCATGCAGTCAGCGGCCTTCGTAAAGATCACGGAATAGTGTGCCTCATGATCTCCGATGACCATGTGCAGAATTTCTGCCCTAGTCGTTATCTCCTTCCTCCTGTACTTGAGGAGTAGGAAGAGAACCAAATCCACACTCTTGCTATTGAGCCCATTCTGCAGTGGAGGCTCGGGGTTAGCGACATGGCTAGCTTGATTGCCAGAGGCCTGAGCAGACGGTGCCACTGCAATGAAGCCCATGGCGGTGGGAGAAGAGGCTCTCTGAGCACTGTGGGGAGAACTCAGCATTCCTCCAATGGACACACCCCCTGAGGTAGTGGCAGTGGACTCCTCCCCTGCCTCAGATATGGGGACCTGGGCTCCCACCAGACCCCTTGCCTCCCTTTGGGACTGAGCGCTGTCAGGGATGTGGAGGCCCTGGCTGGTCTCGGTAGGATCCATGCTGAGTTCTCTTGGGAACACAGGCAGGACAGGCAGGTGCGGTTCACAGAGATGAAGACTCACAGACCTGGGGGAGGAAGGGAGAGGATGAGAGGACTCTGACAGTTATTCCCTGGGCAACTCTCAAAAAGCACCTGTCACAGGATTTTGCCTGGGGAGTGCACTTATGGCCAAAGTACTCTGGTACTGCTTGTGCCTCTGAGAGGCTGGAAGCTCCCCAGGTGTGTGCTTCTTCTCGTGTAAAGTCTCAAAACAAGTCTCTGTGTCTCTGAGAGGAACAGAAGGCAGTGAGGACACCTTAGACCTCCTGACACCTGTTCGTGGGGGCAGAAGTTAAGAGAGCTAAAAGAGCTAGGTTGATTCAGTGTGAGTCATTTGGTCTAGAACAGTCTACCAGCCCGATTCTCACCTATACCAATGGCTTGTTCCAGGAGCTTCCCTGTGACCCCTGGGTCCCACGTCTTTAAGGCAAGAGACAATGCCTATAAGAAAGAAAGAAGAATGGGAGAGGGGAAGAAAGTCTCCATTTTCCCACAGCCATCAGGAAGGCAGGTAGGTAGGCAGTCCTCTCTATCTTTGGCTGATGGGACTCTTTCAACTCTCACCATGATTCCTCACAGACCCGAACCTCCCTCTGATGACCCAGGCCAAGGTGCTCTTAGCAGGCACCTCAGCTCCCTTAGACTATTCCCTGGAACCAGGGCAGAAGACTCAGCCCTGCAGCCCCTCCCAGGACTGTCTGTGAGACAGGGCTTCAGGGAAGTCCTTGGAGGGACCACTGTCTCCTTCACTTGCCTCCTGGGATCCTTTCCTGGAACTTCCCAGGGGCTGACTTAACCAAGAACTCGGCTCAGACAAGGTCTCCTGCTCCGGTGAAGTTCCATACCTGGCGGCCCTATAACCATCCTCTCAGGAGAAAAGAGCTGGTGGCACAGCTCATCAACTCCTGTGGGGGAACAGCCATGATGGCCATGTGTTCAGGGCTCATCTCTACAGGGCTCCCATCTCTACAAGGACTCTAGCGCGCTGAAGTATGCAAACCCTTGGTGCCCCTGGGCATCGAATCCGGGTCATACCCAGCCAATGAGGTCCTCTGGCTCTTTCCTTCAGATTCAGTCCTCAGGGGAGGCCCACACTCTGCAGAATCCCGCTGCTCTCCAGACGTGGCTGCCACTGCTGATCTGATATCAACCCTAGGAACAAAACCATCATTCCCGGTAGAATTCTCAACCCAAGTCATGCAGTCCAAGGAAGCCAGGCACAGAAGACCCCACTCGCACCCTCCCACCCATCCCCCCTCTCCCCCCCCCCGCATGAGATGAGGGGTGCCCATGCTTTATGAAGTCTTCTTGTTTGGGGAACAGGGCCCTCTTTGCATGTTCATTTCCGACCGTGACAGCTCACCTGGAGTCCTGATGGAAAATGGATATCACCTCTGGCGATCAGGCCTGCTCCCCTCTGGGCTGTGGTGGTCCCCGACGCTGAAAAGGCTCACAGCCTTGAGAAAGGACACAGATGTGAATTTGTCTCGACTCTGGATATGCCAGGGCCCCGACTGCTCAAGACGGACAAAGGGGGCAGGCCCTGCATTTTCTCACACATTCTGAAGTTTCCTTCCTCCTTGTTCCTCACAACGCCCTTCCTGACTCTCAGATCCATCTTTCAGGTCCAAGCCACTTGTGAGCGTCCACCTCATCCCCTCAACCCCAAGTCAGAGGTGACACCTGCGTTCCACAGTCGACACCATAGCTAGTCTGTGCTGACAGCAAGGGCTGCTTTTATATGTCTTATATCAGAGGTCTGACTGTTTCCTCCTTGATGGCCCTGGATCCTTCCCACTACATCTCTAAGGCCTTATCCTAGGATAAATCCCCCTCCTCCTTCACAGAGTGCAGTAGAAGGAACGGCACAGCGCATACAAGGAGGAAGGAGGGGGAAACAGGTTAATTCCTCCAGGTGCACCACAGTGGAAATACCATCTGGGTACCTTCTAGGCAGAGTGCATTTCTTCAGTCCAGTAGGGTCCCACAGACATGCTGAATGCAAAGCCAGTGTCAGGTTAACCGGACCTCTTAAAAGTCACTCCTTTGAGAGGAGCGGAGGTGGTGGCACAAGCCTTTTATCTCGACACTAGCGAGGCTGAGGCAAGCAGACCTCACTGACTTCGAGGCCAGCCTGGTCAACACAGCAACAATGCGGCATGGCCGTCACCCTTCTAGTCAGGTCAGAAAACGGCTCCAGGCTCCCAATTCCAGGGAGCAGGAAGAGCCCTCTGACCAACTCCCAGGCACCACAGAATAGGACTTTAGCGCCCAAGGTGCCCAATGTGGCACGAGATGCCTGACGGTCTCCCTCCTGGAAACCTCACAAAATGTCTCCAAGCCCCCCAGGCCCCGGATGTAGGAAGCCCAGCCTGATGGTCTCCCTCCTGGGAACCTCACAAAATGACTCCAAGCCCCCAAGGCCCCAGACGTAGGAAGCCCAGCCTGATGGTCTCCCTCCCGGGAACCTCACAAAATGAATCCGAGGCCCCCAGGCCCCAGATGTAGGAAGACCAGCATGATGGTCTCCCTCCCGGGAACCTCACAAAATGACTCCAAGCCCCAATCCCCGGATGTAGGAAGCCCAGCCTGATGGTCTCCCTCCCGGGAACCTCACAAAATGACTCCGAGCCCTGCTAGGTCCCCGGATGTAGGAAGCCCAGCCTGATGGTCTCCCTCCTGGGAACCTCACAAAATGACTCCGAGCCCTGCTAGGTCCCCGGATGTAGGAAGCCCAGCCTGATGGTCTCCCTCCCGGGAACCTCACAAAATGGCTCCAAGCCCCTCAGGCCCGGATAGAAGGAGCCCGCTTTGTCCTTCATCCTTCAACCTTCTAGGCCCTTAGGAAAATGGCTCCAAAGCCCCATTGCCTGATGCCAGAGGCGCCTCGTCCATCCCTCACACCCTTCAGGGCCCTCAGAAAATGCCTGTGAGACCCTCAATGCCTGGATACCTGGAGCGCGATGTGGCCGACACCCTTCTGGTCCCAAAGAAAGATGGCTCCGAGCCCTTCCAAGTCCCCGGATATAGAAGGACGACCCTGGCTGGGTCCTTCTGGAGCCTCACAAAATGGCTCGGAGTCCCACCAGGTCCCCGGATGTGGATGCTGCCGAAGCTTGAGGAGGCTTCTTCCCACAGTCGCTCTCAACTTGGATGGAGGACTGTGAACACATACAGTCGAGACTGTTTGGTCTAGGCCTGTGTGCTTTAGATGTGGCTTCTGGGACCCCACGTCCATTAAGCTGGGCATCTCAGACCCCACGTCCATTCAGCTGGGCTCCTGAGACCCCACGTCCATTCAGCTGGGCTTCTGAGAACCCACGTCAATTCAGCTGGGCTTCTTGGACCCCAAGTCCATTAAGCTGAGCTTGAGAACCCACGTACATTCGCCTGGGCCTTCTGAGACCCCACGTCCATTGAGCTGGGCTTCTCAAACCTCACGTCAATTCAGCTGGGCTTCTGGGGACCCACGTACATTCAGCGGGGCTTATCGGACCCGACGTCCATTCAGCTGTGCTTATCGGACCACACGTCCATTCAGCAGGGCTTCTCGGACATAACGTCCATTCAGCTGGGCTTCTGGGACCCAAGGTCCATTCAGATAGGTTTCTCAGACCTCACGTCCATTCAGCTGGGCTTCTGGGAGCCCACGTCCATTCAGCTGGGCTTCTGGGATCCCACATAAATTCAGCTGAGCTTCTCCAACCTCACGTGCATTCAGCTGGGCTTCAGAGACCCCAGGTTCATTCAGCTGGGCTTCTGAGACCCCACGTCCATTCAGCTGGGCTTTGGAGACTCCACGTCCATTCAGCCGGGCTTCTGACACCCACGTCCATTCAGCCGGTCTTCTGGGACCCCAAGTCCATTCAGCTGGGCTTCTCAGACCCCACGTCCATTCAGCTGGGCTTCTGAGACCTCACGTCTATTCAGCTGGGCTTCTCAGACCCAACGTCCATTCAGCTGGGCTTCTCGGACATCAAGTCCATTCAGCTGGGCTTCTCGGACACCACGTCCATTCAGCTGGGTTTCTGAGACCCCACATCCATTCAGCTGGGTTTCTGAGACCCCACATCCATTCAGCTGGGCTTCTTGGACCCCACGTCCATTCAGCTGGGCTACTGAGACCCCACGTCCATTCAGCTGGGCATCTCAGACCCCACGTCCATTCAGCTGGGCTTCTGAGACCCCACGTCCATTCAGCTGGGCTTCTGGGACCCCAGGTCCATTCAGCAGGTCCTCTGAGACCCCACGTCCATTCAGCTGGGGCTTCTGAGACCCCCATGTCCATTCAGCTGGGGTTCTCAGACCTCACGTCCATTCAGAAGGGCTTCTGGGACCCCACGTCCATTCCGCTGGGATTCCGAACCCCAAGTCCATTCCGCTGGGCTTGACACCCCACGTCCATTCAGCTGAGCATCTGAGACCCCAGGTCCATTGAGCTGGGCTTCTGAATGCCACGTCAATTCAGCTGGGCTTCTGGGACCCCACGGGCATTCAGCTGGGCTTCTGAATGCCAGGTCAATTCAGCTGGGCTTCTGGGACCCCACGGGCATTCAGCTGGGCTTCTGAATGCCATGTCAATTCAGCTGGGCTTCTGGGACCCCACGGGCATTCAGCTGGGGTTTTCAGACCTCACGTCCATTCACCTGGACTTCTGGAACTCCACGTCCATTCAGCTGGGCTTCTGGGATCCCATGTCAATTCAACTGGGTTTCTCCGAACCCACGTACATTCAGCTGGGCTTCTCAGACCCCACGTACATTCAGCTTGGCTCTTCGGACCCCACGTGCATTCAGCTGGGGTTCTGGGGCCCCACTTCCATTCACCTGGGCTTCTCGGACCCCACGTCCATTCAGCTGGTGTTCTGGGACCCCAAGTCCATTCAGCTCGGCTTCTGAGGCCCCACGTCCATTCAGCTGGGGCTTTTGAGACCCCAGGATCTCTCAGCTGGGCTTCTGG